TCGACCTGATAAGGTATATTGCTAAAAATGGGACTGGTAGCCCGCATTACTAACAATCCCCCCCCCCCTCCATACCGTATTAGATATTGATATGGAAAATTTACTTTAAATTAATGATAATAGAATAATAACCTCGCTACGTTATCGGTATATGCTTCCGGGTTACCAGCGCGGTATGATTGAAGAGGATAAAAGCAGGTTATTTGACTTATCATGAAGAATTTATATAGAATTACCCACAATATGTATGTATAATAAATGCAAGTCGCTCGGGACCGTTTCTTATTGTCGTGTACGACAGTATCAGTGGTCAGGTAATGGCCGAGATAATGATGATGATGAAGAACCACATTATTTTCCAGAGGAATTCCATGGCAATTGGACTATTTATTGCTAGTCCCCGCAATACCAATTCCGTCTCTTCCCGTGAGGCAGTATTAGGTACTTATTTAGCTCCATTCGCGTTTCGCTGAACAATTTTGGTCACACTTATACAGCTCTGCTTTTTTCAGCCGCATACGGCGTCGTAAGAACGTGAAAATCCGTCATAGCGTGCTATCTCCGCTGAAACGCTTGTCTACTGCGTACGATGTAGAATACGCTGCTGCATTTCATAAAAATAAAATAATTAACTATAAAATACGTCTGCACTCTTTAATGATTACGCAATAATAAATCAAATCAATGCAAAAACTTCTCGACAAGGAGTCACGAAACATCACTATAAAGAACTGTTTTGCCGCGTTCGACGGTGAATGCGGCGAAACAGCGCTGAACGCGGTGAAACAGCGCTGAACGCTCTCTATGGAGTATAAAAGCTGAATATATATGATAAACTTTAGCATCTAGGTTCGGTTTTCTAGAGGTAAATTTAATAAACTATTTTTTTTTTATTAACTCGAACATAAGTTATCAGGGTGACCTCGAATATTAGTTGTTTGGTTACTCCTAACGCTGTATATGTAGGTATGTAAGGATCTTCGACGCGATGTACCAACAGCCAAGACGTCTTGATGGATTATAATAAATGGGGTGTCGTTTGATTCGTCTTAATTGTGGGAATGCTAGAGACATGACCTTTTTATGTACAAATGAAATCTTTTATTTTTACTTTTTATACTACAAAAGTGGCAAACAAGCATACAGCCAGTTTGATGGTAAACGGTTAATGTAGCTATGGACGCCTGCACTACTAGAGGTGTCATGTCCACGTTGTCGACCCTGAAGAAACCTCAATATATCCTTTATGAAGAATCCCATACTGTAGTCGATTGCTTGACTACCTCTGTCCCATTCGTGTTTCAACCATGAAGCAGTTGTGTTTGCATGGCTGTGTTTCGGTTTGAAGGGTGGGATATGGCGTGAACTTACTAGGTACAGAGGAATAAAACCTGAGTCCTCAGGAATGGCAACGCATGGGGGGTATCATGGGTGAAATAGTATACTTTTATAGTTATATCCATGGTACTGCTCATGTCTATAGGCGACGGTTACCACTTTCCATCAGGTGGACCGTCAGCTTGTTTGCCATTCTAAGTTGTATAAAAAAAACAACCTAAGCGTTTTCGGGAGAAAATTCCTTTAACCGTATTATTATTTAAAAAGGTCCGAAGTCTATTGATAGTCTTATCATTGTCATTATATCAGATATTAACTGCCCACTGTTGAACATAGGCCTTCCCTATAAGGAGGGCTTTGTCTACTGTTGGCCATATGCCTCGTCTTAAGGGGTTTTTCCAGTAATTGCCACGCTTCGCAGCCGGATTTGCAAGCGCAATTAAGCTTTGGTGAATTAAAGAGAGAATTTGGTGGTTTAAAGAGAGACGCTGCTGCCCATCTCTTAACTATTAAGTTCCCTTAGTCGCCTCTTACGACACCCACATAAAAGAAAGGGATGGCGCGTTCTATGTCGGAACTACACGGCGCATTCATAGTGTGTTTGAAAAGATTTCAATGAATGAATGAAAACTCTTTGTTATTCCCTTCAATGAATAATACAGATTATAAAGATTAATAATATGTGCACAAACAAAATAAATACTTAATTATATAAATTTCATTATATACAAGATAATAAAGAAGCAAAAATGGCCGGTCTCATTACTAAATAGCGATATCTTCCAGGCAACCTTAGAATCATCATATCAGCCTTTAACTGTCCACTGCCGAACATAAACCACCCCTTGGGGGGGGTTATGCCAGTAGTGGCCATACTTGGCAAGCAAGGGTTGGCAAGTATGGCCACTACTGCCCGCAATCAGGTTTTAGAGATGTTTTAAGAGGGACGCTGCTGCCTATCTTTCGCCCTCCTTAGTCGCCTCTTACGACACCTACAGGAAAGGAAGGGGTGGTCTATTCTATGCCGGGGCACATATGGCGGTTATGATATTCATAGGACACAAAAGAATCTTTAAAAATGTTATACATAGTTGGATTTTTATGACATTGTCATGCTCATTTGTTCTGTAAAAAAATAATAAAATGAAAAGCAGAAAATATTATACGGCCGTAAACTGGATATACTGTTATGGAAACGCATATTGTTATGGAAACGACGCGTTTCGAATAGCTCACACAAAGGCCTTGAAATTAAGTTTGACGAAAGCAGTTTTAAAATAATTTTCATGTTTCCTTTATTAATATACTATTTTTATTCCATTGCATTATTATGTCATAACTCTATTAGTTCTAAACCGATTTTCGAAATATATATATATATATATATATATATACACATACATATATGTATGTGTATATATCAATAAAATCCACCCAGCCGTAGAACCGTAATTGAGTAATAAACGTCGAATAATTCAAAAAGTAACATATTTATAACATTAGTAGTAGATTCCTATCCTATAAAATATACTTACATAAATAGAATAAAAATATATAATTATTATTTTTATGTAATGTTTTATGAGTGAAACTATATATTTTTCAAAAATATGATCGAGGATTGAAGAACGAAAAAAATTTAAGCCTTCCATAATAATTTTGTAGGTGAGCATGGAATATATGTACATATCATATATTTTACATTATAGACAGGTCAAAATTATTTACCATTACTTTTTTTACCTACCATGAAATGTTTTACGAAATTTCAGGGCCAAACATAACACAAATTTGATGTAAAAATTACATAATACATTTCGTTTAAAAATAATAATGTTAAAATGTGATTCTATTGGACTTTTATGGTAAGATTTATGACGAACAAAATTTTAAGCTCCATTTACTGATTTTGGCATGAAGGAAAATACAAAATTAAGTCCGAAATTTTATAATTTAATGTCACAGTAGACCCCCAGAATCTACTCCCAAAATCTACATCATCTACGATCTTCGTTATCCGTCTCCATAAAACGTAAAAAGTTTTGTCCGATATTGAATTGCGAAGATATACTACATACAACTGTTACCCGTACGCTGCTAATAACAAAAGCCACTCCTGCGGTTCCTGTGGTCTCCAACAGAAGTACTCTATTTGTCATTGTAACCTATTTGCAAGATTAACGTTTCCACTAAACATAGTTTGAAGAGGGATTCGTAAGTTGCACGAGACACTGTTTACACTATCGTTCAAAGTACAACATTTGTCTTTTAAACCTCCAAAAACAGGATGTTCTCGATACGTTCCTCTTTATTTGTGGCTGTTTTCCCCAATTTGTCTTTTTTTTTTTAACTAAGGGGGGTAAAAAGGTTTCTTCAGGGTCGGCAACGCGCGTGTAATACCTCTGGTATTGCAGGCGTTCATAGGCTACGGTAACCGCTTACCATCAGGTGGGCCGTATGCTTGTTTGCCACCTCAGTGGTATAAAAAAAAACTATTTTATGCAATTCTGAATCAATTTTGAATTCGACTATTTAAATTATCAATTACTAAGTAAAATTGAAAATTTTGACGCAGAAAGTGTGAAATTTAATATGTGTAAGTAATTTTCTGAGGGCCAATTTAGATTGAGAATTTACTGCGTGTATCCCATTTCACGTATTATCATAATTAGATATATTTCCATTTTATTTACACACAAAATTTGACGATGAGTTTCTGAATAGGTCAATTTGATTTTGCTGTAAGTCTTTGATTACCTACTTCTAAAAATAGAATAGGTATCTATATAAATATAAAAAAAAGAAAAAAATGGTCTTTATTCATGAATTACAGATTCTTTTTAAATTATACATAGGTATATTTAGCCGACTTCAAAAAATCTAATAATTTTAATCAAAATCATTAGTGACCTCTTCAAGCTATGTTTCTACTTGTGTTAGAAATATTGAACATTTTTCCAAAGCGTCATCCATCATCATCATTACACCAGCCTTTATCAATAACATAGGCCTCATCTTACTGGAGGGTTTCTCCAGTAGTTGCCATGCTTGCAGGCGGGTTAGCAACCGCAGTTAGGCTTTTCGTGATATTTCAAACGGGACGGTAATGCCCATCCCGGGACCATTAAGTTCTCTTAGTCGCCTAATACCCACGGGAGGCAATCATTTTACCAGATGCCATAAGAATGAAGACGACCCACCTGCAAAGAGTGTAAAAGGGGTTTTTAAAGGGTATCAATGTTGAAAAACTACATTATAATGATTTTTTTTATCCGCGTAAAAGATGAAGAAACTATCATTCAACAACGTAAATGCATTAATTCCAGACCTTGGTGTTAATTGGTCTTGATGGTTGTAATATCAACCATTCAAACTGAAACATACACACACTGTTTTCAAAACATCATATTTTACATCATTATCGTCCCTCACTGGTGCCTCTCCAGTATACACCGACAGCACAAGTGAGGTTACCATTCTATTATCACCTATTAAAAAAAATACCCACGGGAAAAAAGAGGTAGACCATTCTATCCCGGGACCACACGACGAACATTTTAAACTTTGTTAGTTATGCAAAATGCGATATGTTCATATAAAATTTACAATAGAATTTAAATAAATATCAATATAAAGTAACTTATATTCTCTCTTTGTTTCAGATTCAATAATTACGAACCATTTATTATGGTATAGTGAATTGAAACAGTGCGAAAATGAATTTCAAAATGACTTTATGGTGTAGACGTGTGCGCTCGTCAGTGGTTGGTGTTATAATGGTTATATTTACATGCGCACTGTCCGAAGTGGCCTCGTCGGACGGGAGGGATGAGCCGCATAAGTATACGATAGACGAGTTGCTGTCTACACATTACGAGAATAAGGATTCTGGTGATCTTGGAATGGATCCTTGTAAAGCTGGTAAGTTTTATAATAATAATTATATGTTTCGGATCCTGTAATCTCAGTATGGAATAGGCCATCCCTTCCTTTCCCGTAGGTGTCGTAGGAAGCGACTAAGGGATGGCGAGGCATGGGCAGCAGCGTCCCTCTTGAAATATCTCTGATAGCCTAACTGCGGTTGCCAATCCGGCTGCCAAGAGTGGCAACTACTGTCAAAACTCCTTTTATGAGAAACGCTTATTTATACATCTGCCGCCCAATTCGAAATACAATTTCAGCTGAGAAGAACAGGCATAAAACACAGCTGTTGCTTTTTCAAATAAAGTTAAGTTTACAAAAAAAAACTATGAATGATAAAAATTACTATCACAATCTTCATATCAATAAAAGAAAAAAAAATACAAAGCAACAATATTAATGTATTTAAAAAAGAATGTGCAATAGTTAAAAATCAATAAATATTCTCAATTACCCTCATATTTTATATATTTTATTATTATTATTAGATTATATAGATAGATTGCATACAAATGCTTCGAAAAAAAAGGGTCACGTTTTTATAAAATTTTGCGAGATAAATAGCCATAACTGTTTCCTTTATAACTTTTATATTTTTTTTTTCAAATTTTTGCATCTTTTTAATGCGTAAAAACGCATTTTATTTATTAAATTATTAAACATAGATACGTCAAGATACATTACATGCGTAAGTATATAGAACATTAATAAAAAACCAGTTAACTAATCTGACAATTAGCTGACAGAAATTTGACCCGTTTTTGAGACTCGATACTATCTATGTTATATACATAGATAGCATCGAGTCTCAAAAACGGATCTTAGATTTCATTTTAGACCTTATACACATAAAAAAATTACACCTAATCTTGTCTATACAATTATCACGCAAAAACTACTGAACGAATTTCGCCTTAGTATGATATTCTTTAAATACAAAAAAATACAAAATATTTTATAATTTGAGAAAATGTCTCACATGTGAGGGAAAATATAAAACCAGCTACATAAACGAGGTCGCGGACATAGCTACTAAGTAACTTTATATAATCTAGGCCCTTTCAAGGCAAAAGTGAATAGACTGTTCATGGGTCAGCGAGCTCTACCTTCAACCTCAACATCACTTCCCATCAGCTGAGATTGAGGTCAATCGCGGGGCCCTTTAATAGTAAAAACATCTCAATGTTGAAAGATCCTTTCAAAACTTGTTTCTTTTTATCATAGACAAAGTAGATTTGTTACCATTGACAAATAAAGTCAGCAAAAAGCAAAATAGAAGTCGTGAAGAAATTATTTCTATTTAGTTACATCACTATTCCTCCATTAAAATAAATTGATTCTATACATAGACGATGAGGCGTTTTGTAGATACATTTGAATTTAGAACGCGAATACATGCAGATTTTATCAAAATTGTAACAAAATTTTATCCGTCCCAAATAATCGCAACAAATTTAAAATGGGAACACTCTCCAGTGTTCCAATTTGAAATTAATAAATACAGGCGAACAAAACAAATCGACAATGATCCTCTTCTAGATGTTGCAAAAAAAAATATTATTTTTATGTTTTTCTATGCTATTGCGTAGAATATATTTACGATCTAGTTGAATTTTGTTTTTAAAAATAGATTTTTTTTTCAAATCTCATCGTATTTATATGTATACTGCCATAATATATATACTGAAAAGGCTCCTAAATAAATAAATAAACAAAAGCTTTGTAAAGAGAAATTGTCAAAGCGTGTGTCCAAACCGGATTTTGGACATGGACTCCTTGTAATTTTCACTGATTACCCTCGTAAAGAATTTCACACAAGTTTGTTAAATTGGTGAATAAGTTATAAGATGTAGCGATTACAAGCTATATTAAAATATTGACGAATTAAAAGTCTTTTTAAAACGAAATGCAGTCACAAAATAATTATACATACTAAAATTGCAATTGAAGCCTCTATCTGTAACTAGTTCACATTATGTAAGAGCCTGAATTAAAACGAAATATTTAATTAAATAATTAAAAAAAAAAAAAATTAACTGTTTTTTTTTCTAATTATTTTTTGGTCTGTATGAATTTACATATTTTATATTGATCACATGATATCTACGTTTCCAATGCAATTATGAATTGAAATCAAATATTAAGATTTAATAAATCAAGTTCGTTCATGTTCTACTATTAATACTTCACTGTTCACGGGTTATACATGGTTTTGTTACTTCTATAATTATTCTAAATACTCACAATATATTAGCGAGTATATGGATATGTGGTGGTACCTTGTGGTCCTAGCATAGTATGGGTCACCTCTACCTTTCTCGTGAGTGTCGTAAGAGATGACTAAGGGACTTAATGGTCCGTAATTTAATGGTCGATGCATGGGCAGCAGTGTTCTTTTTAAAACATCACCAAAAGACTAACTGGCGTGGCAACTACTTGCAAAACTCCCTTATGGAGAAGATCTATGTTCAACAGTGGCCAGTTGATGGCTGATATGATGATATGGATATTTTTTTTTTGATGGGTGAAAATGGTATGGCCTGCGATAACGGGATACGCTGGCGGAGCTCCAGTGAAGGGTGATAAATGAGAATGAAAACAGGCCAGTTAGCCCATCATGATGAATTCATTAGGAATTAACCATGATAGTTTCCAGGGAGAACCGCGAAGAGGTTGACCTGGGTGGGTATATTGCTAGCAATAGGATTCTCAGTCTCCATTACTAACAATCCCTTTCCCCCCAGATATGGATAATTGTATTATAGTCCTCTAAACCGATAGTAAAATTATCCCCAAACATTTAGAAAACCGCTTAAAGTATATAACATGAACCATAGGTTAAAATTTCAACGAAAACCGAGAGGGTTGGTTTTTATCACCGCCCGTTGATTCCTGTTTTAGCACTTTTTAATGGCCAACGCTTGGAGGTAGAATTAAATACTTACATTGTTCGCTTTAAATTTCTAAACAATTGAGCTACGTTTTGAAAAAAATCTATTAATAAAAAAAAAGTTGTTGTGATAAGTATAAAATGACATGAAGTACAGTTTTATCATTAGGTATTTGAAGCTCCTTCTTTGAAGAGGTTATATCATTATTTGAAGTTCCTTCTATGAAGAGTTTAAATATTCATATTTATTTAACAGGTAAGTAACTATATAGATTGATTTATGTAGTAAAATGCCTAATCACAAACACACACATACATATATCAACGAATTTGACGTAAAGCTAAAATGTTGTTCTAAAAAACCGATTTTAATCGTAACAAAATTGGTGAGAGACAAACATTTTTATGTTAACCTCGTTTAATACAAAACGACTAACCTAAATCGAAACCGAATTAGCAAGTATATTACGTGACATAACAAAAAATCTGTTAAGTGGAAAGCCACTTTCATTATGGTACAATTGTGTTCTTGCTATTTGAAAATTATTGGATAACAATTGTGTTATAAAAATTCAAACATTGCGTTGTGCTAAATCGTCTCACTCACTAAAAACCGTCAAAGTTTATCGGTTCAGAGAGGACACACGCCCGTAAATTGGAATCTGGCACTCTATAAAGACCTTTAAAGTCAATAAAACGACCCTCATCAAGCGAACCGTAAAAATCGTACAATACCGGTTTTTCCCCGCCCCCGATGCTATTCCGATTGCCGTGCCGAAAGGAATTTTATTTTTAGGTGCGTATTTGCTTTTCTTACTGATACGATCTCAGAATGTTCTATTGAAGTAATGCAATTTGGACTTCTATCTGGTCATGCGTCAGCTTATTTTTTTTTTAAGTAGATTATCATTTATTTAGTAGATTACATCTATGTATTGGAATCTCCACCTGTGCTACTAATATACGTTGGCAGAGCACTAGTGAGAAATGACAGCTGACGATGAAAACAAGTCAGTTAGCTCAACATAAGTAAATTGTTTATTAAATAATAAAAAAAATAGTAGGAGAATTACAACAAAATTTAAACATATTCCCAGCACTGAATGAACCACTATTGCCTTTCCTGTGGCTGTCATAAGAGGCGATTAAGGGAACTTATTGGTCAGGGATGGGCAGCAGCGGCCTTTTTAAAAAATCACCAAAACCTAACTGCGATTGCCAACACGCCTTCAAGCGTGGCAACCACTGGCAAAACATCCCTTATGGGAGAGGCATATGTTCAGCAGTGGACAGTTAACGGCTGGTATAAAAATAATTAAAATTTTCATGTAACTTCAAAGTTTAGGTTATATAGATAGATTATCGAGTGTCAAAAACTTTTCTACGTTTGTTTTACTAAATTTAACACATTTTTTTTAAATAATAAATAAATTTTTCACAAAATTTTTCATCGTGCCTCCCACCAAATTGTTTATCCTCTCCATCCAAAGGTTGCCTAGAAGAGTTCGCTCTTAGCGATAAAGTCGCCCATTGTTTTCTCATTGTGATTATTTTTTGTAATTATTTATATTTATAATAGGTTTACTATTGTAATCTTTTGGAGGAAACAATAAAGAGTATCTATCTATCTATTTATTTTTATTCAATGCTGTCAATAATTGCATTTAAAACTTCCCAGATCAGATCTATTTTATAAATATGAAATACGAACTGATTTTTCTGGTATAATATTAATACATTACTTATGTACGTGTGCTTACAAATTAATATACATGTATAAATTAAAATAGTGGTTATTTTCAATGATTTAAAAATATATTACATACATACATACATATCTGTCACGCCTGTCTCCCATTAGGGTAGGCAGAAACAATGAAACGCCAAATGCTTTGATTCAAACAAACCTCTTTCGCTTCTTTCACATTCATCAATCTTGTCATACATGCTCGCCGGTTACGGGTAAAAATATATTATATGTCTATACTCAGATAAATATCAAGGTATTCAGTAACAATAAGCAGATTATGAATTATTATGCACTGTTTTATTTTGCACTTTTAAATATATTTATAGGTGTTAAGTATCGTTACCATTTTCCAATTTTACC